AAGAGCTAAATCATTCAGGGCTTTATAAGTAATTAGCAAGATTTTAAAATCTATACAATGTTTAATAGGGAGCCAGTGCAGTGTTGACAGAACCGGGCTTTTTTTTCAGAATTTAGCAGTAGGAAATTACTAGTCATCCAGTTTTTTATATCAAATGCATTCTGTTAGTTTTGCAAATTTGTATGTTTCATTGGGCCACGAAGAAATATAGAGCTGAGTATCATCAGCATAACAGTGAAAGCTAACACCATGTTTCTTGATGATATCTCCCAAGGGTAACATGTAAAGTGTGAAAAGCACCGGTCCTAGTGCTGAGCCTTGTGGCACTCCATACTGTACTTGTGATCGATATGATATCTCGCCATTTACTGCTACGAATTGATGGTGGTCAGATAAGTAAGATTTGAACCATGACAATTCAATTCCACTAATGCCAACATAATTTTGTAGTCTACTCAAAAGGATGTCGTGGTCGATAGTGTCAAACGCAGCGCTAAGATCCAGTAGAACTAATAAAGAAATACAACCACGATCAGATGATAAGAGCAGGTCATTTGTGAATCCGATGAGAGCAGTCTCAGTACTACGATACAGTCTAAATCCCGACTGGAAATCCTCAGAGATACCAGAGATTTCTCTCCAAAAAGGAACATAGTAGGGTCTAACATACATGTTGTAGGTTTTGATGATTTGACAAGTTTACAATTATTCCTGTCCTATAGCAGAGAATGAGTGGTATTGTTCCTATGGGGATCTATAGTGCGTTATCTGATGCGATACTGTGGCTGACGGCTGCATGGTTATAATTTTATCTCTAATAGTATCGATCTTGGAAGTAAAGAAATTCATAAAGTCATTACTGCTGTGTTGTTGGGAAATCTCTGCATCTGTTGATGCTTTATTTTTCGTTAATTTAGCCACTGTTTTGAATAAATGCCTGGGGTTGTGTTTGTTCTCTTCTAAGAGAGACGAAAAGTAAGTAGATCTAGCAGTTTTTAGAGCTTTTCTATAAGTAGAAGTACTTTCCTGCCATGCAATATGAAATCCCTCTAGTTTTGTTTTCTTCCAGCTGCGCTCCATTTTCCGGGCTGCTCTCTTTAAGGCACGAGTGTGCTTGTTATACCACGGTGTCAAACTGTTTTCCTTAAGCTTCTTTAAGCGTAAAGGAGCAGCCGTATCTAAAGTGCTAGAAAAGAGAGATTTAATAGTTTCTGTTACATCATCAAGTTTTTCTGAGCTATTGGATATGCTGAGGAATTGAGACAAGTCAGGAAGATTATTTACAAAGCAGTCTTCTGTGGTAGAAGTGATGGTTCTAACATATTTGTAACAAGGAATTGAATGTGCAGCTTTAGTTATATGGGGTATACACGAGACTAGATAATGATCCGAGATGTCATCACTCTGCTGCAGAATTTCAACGCCATTAACATCAATTCCATGTGACAGTATTAAA